AAAACGGGACGGAAAACATGAAATTTTGCAATAATCTTGCGCCACCCTTGCACAAAACGACGACCATTTTTCTAATTTCATAGATAACAGAAGACGTAAGAAGTATTTTTTCTACATAACCCCCCCCACCCTGACTTTAAAGCCACTTGTCTTTATCTATGTTTAAAGCTGGATTCGCCCCTGATTACACCCTGCACATTGCCTCTTTCAAAAGCCCCAAACGTCGAATTCTGACCAACAGGAACTCTAGAAACTTTGTAGGGCGAATTTAAGCCGTCATAGCAGTAATTTTCATCTTCAAAACAGCTCTAAAAGTTTTCTTGATGCCTAATAATATATTTAACGGCTATGCTGCCACCATAGATTAACCAACCGGCTATGCTGCCACCAACAACGGACATTTCTAACTTACTAGAGATAAAAGCAAAAAATATACAAACGTCGTTCAGGTATTTTTGGTAGATTTTTTGGAGACTTATTTTTCACGAATTTCATAGAGCCGTTCTTTCTTCTCCTTTCTCCTCGTTCTCTCCGTTTTTTCTAGAAGGGATTCTTTTAGGAAACTAAATCAGTTTACTTCCAGACCAGTTTAGATCGTTTCTCTTGTATTATAAAAATATCCCGTTTATTAAAGAGTAGAGGTACCCAAACAAAGTGAAAATACATGGTACCTACTTACTTGAAAAATTATGGTATTCAGGTAGTAAATTCAATTTTTTTTAGACCCGCATGATAACAAGCTATTATCAGTAAATGTCGGTGAAATTGGTGCGCATCGTTTCCAGTGCAATACTTTCAAAGATTTCAATCTAGAACAGGGTGTTTGGTTTGGCGAAGGTTTTCTTTGCTAGAAGTGATAGCAAATTTCCGACTTTGTGGCTTCTTAAATGGGAACGTCCTGCTTTGATTCAAAGACTTAAGTTTTTTTTTTAAAGTCACCTACCTTGTAGACTTGAGAACGGGAGCGCTGTAAACTATTAACTCACAAAAACGTATTTTTGTACATGTACATAGCCTATTTGCAAATATTTTAATATTTTTAACAGCATAATCATGGTAATAACATTTTTATCATGATTAACTAACTAATCAATAATCTTGTTTAGACCAGATTCTATCCACAAAAAATCAACAATATTGTCATGTTTGTCGCCCTTGGACTCTCTTAAAGATCAATTAATCTGATTAGCCAGAAATTGAAAAAAAAACTGCCAATTATATGGTGCTCAATTATTTCGGTTTAACCCTCGCCTAAGAAATTTTAAATATTTAAATTTTATTTAATTTCTCACCATTTTTAATAGGATTTTATATTACTGACAGTCCCAAGGTTAAAAGTTTCAAATATATTACATTCATTTCCACGCAATAATACAACAGCTGTTCAAAATGATCTCGAACGTTGTGAAGAAATCTTTTGTTTGGATTGGATCTGGTGCATTTGCTCGAAAAATGGATCATTTTTCGATTTAAGATGTTCTCATAAAAGCAAATCAATACGAGATAAATCGATCGATAGCGATTATGCAAATCATTGAATAGTCCCTAGTGTTTCAATCAGTATATTAGGACAAATCCGTTATATACTTATGGACGCTAATGCAAAATGTGGTGGAGGCACCATGTCGATTAATCGCATTTTCCAAGAAATCACGGAATCTGCCGCCCAAATTTTGCTATTTATTTTAAAATGTATGATTTACAGGTTGATCTCATCGTTTCCCATCCCCTAATCAATAAAAAAACTGAGTGAAATACAGAATAAACGTTCGAGCGGTTGTAAAAACAAGACCGCATTCTGTTTGGCGGCCAATCATGTATAAAATGGAATGGAAAAAAAGGTACTTCGTAAATCATTTATTTTAAAAATGGACAAATATATTATGGTGAACCAAAATATAAATAAAATGTTATGAAAATGCAATACTTGCTGACAGAAAGATGAACTTACTAAAATAATAACTAGCAGAAACCGCTTAAAAGTAATCAGGAATTGTGAATATGTCAAAAACAAAGTATTCAAAATGCTTATTTACAATAAACTAATATGCACAATCAACTAACTAACGGAAATCTTTTCATTACTTTATTGAACGAGACATGCGAAAGAAAATTGAAATGTTATTAGCTATTTTAATTTCTTCAACAAAATTTCGACTTATAACAACACGGTTGACTTTCCAGACGTCAATTGTAAACATCTTCAAATTTGTATACAGGATGGCTTGAAAAATGCCCATCAAAATTTTTTAGTTTTATACAAAAATGTTAGACACCGACAGAGTTAACAGTGAATGGATGGAAACAAATCTGATCGAACATTTTCAATCGGCAATCTTGTATAACTGCAATCGATATAGATACTTGAAATTTAAACTTTTTTTACTGGTACAAAATTTGTATGTATTTGCGGTTCTAAATGGGCACCCTTAGTATGTTTCTTAACAAGCTCTCATTTGCCTCAAAAGAAAAACTACCTTCAAATCGAAATTCTAATTACAAAAATAGATAATAATCAAAATGTGCCAAATAAAAACCGGTATTTACCCGTCCCCATAAAGCTAGAAACGAAGTAAAAAACAATGGCGCCTAACATTATTTACCACTCACAGTTAAAAGTAAAGTTACAGCCCCACACTCTTGGCCAATTTATTCAATTCTTCACTTAAATTGATAATGTTTATACTACCGCATTTTATGTAGCATAAAAATTATGCAAGTATGGTAAAAATATATAAAATATTCTAAATATACACATGTTCCTTATAGCTCAAATCATATCTCGTCCTGCAACTTCATTTTTTTCGTACCAGTTTGAGTAGGTTCCGGTAATCGTTTAGACCCCTTGCTTTGAACTCCGGTGTCTGAAACGTCCAAAATATACTTTTTATCTGCTAACTTTCAAAAATATCGTCAACGTTTTCTTGAACATTGTATCATGAATATCATAGTAGACTTGTTTTTATTTTTATTTTGAAATGAAAATTTTCAACCAGTAAGCACTGCCGGTTTATGATCTTGGCGTTGTAACTCTGCTGAATGGGTGAACCAAACTAAAGATTTTAACCAGTCAGGGCCTAGACCAAACTGTAAATACAGCCCTGAATAGAACGGAGTGATACAACACTGTTAATACAGGAGCATGATATTCACCATTCCCTCTTCAGGGAAATGCTCAGTGCTGATTGATGATGATAATGACCACTTGCCAAGTATAAAATTATTGTTGGTAAGTGCTGAAAACTTACCTTGAAGCCACCTAACTTGGGTTGCAGGTCCGTAACCCTTGTCATTTTTAGCTGCTATTCGAAATATAATAGCAGCTTTTGTAGATGTGTCTATATGGGCTGCTTGCAATGAAACGTTTCCCACGACGCACTGACTACTCGGTCCGCAGTATACTCGAACAAAAGCCAGTTGGGGCGGCGCATTGCCAGCAGTCTTTTCCTGCAATAGTTTCAAGTGTAGAATTTACAATTATACATTTACAAGCGGTGATGACTAAAAAACGCATAGCAGATACCCAAAAATTAAATGCCATCCACCTTTTCATCACTTGCATGAAAGGATTTAAAAAAGCGAATTGAATTTTTAAGCGTCAAAAATTTGTTAAAATCTAGTTTAAGCGTCCGTGATATTAGCGCGAAATCTGATGTGAAGAAAACGGTGGAAAAATTGATAAATCGTACCTTTCCCTTAACAGCCAAATATACTGAATATTCTAGTATTTCATGAGGATTGCACCCAGGTGGTTCCCAAGATAGGTGGGCACCGTCATTTGCTTTTGCAATTTTAATTGCAGATGGGGCTCCTGGAAATCCGGGAACACATGTTTTAAACGCTGAAACCTGCAAAGGAAAAAAACGTCAGCAAAATCTGAACTGAACTGAAGTACATCAGTCCATATAAATATAGCATGAATCGCTTAACTGTTTCTCACCTCACTCCATTCGCCTCTCCCAACCGTATTGATTCCGGCTACCCGATACTTATAAGCAGTTCCAGGCTCCAAGTTGATTCTGGGAAAATTTGATAATTCGGGAAGGTCATCAACTGTTAGTTTGTCGGTATCAGATAATAAAAAGTAATTTTGCACGTCGTAATTAGTGCCTTTAATGAATCCTACTGTGTACCAGGTTCCCTAAAAGTAACACAATGTTCAATAGGAGTAAATATTAAAAAATGGTTAGAGATTGAAATTCGGCAAATTAGCAAACTCTCTCACTTTTACTGGCTCTTGGGGGATAGCAGGGAAGTCAGTCTTCTCATCTTTGGACTCCTTAGACGCATCCAGAGCGACTGATGCTAATGCGGTTAGAGGATCTTCGTTGCTGTCAGTCATATCATCGTCATCTTGTTCGTCCTCTTCTTCCTCGTCCTCACCGGCTTCATCCATATCGGCATGAGCAAGCCCATGGAGCTGGTTAGAGTTAAAGGAGGTCGAATTAAATCCGCTGTCCGGTTCATCGCTTTTAATATTCAGATCGAGAGAATTTTCGTTGATTGACAATGGAAATATGTCTCCGAGTACGTGATCTTTATTATCAGAATCATCGTTCATAGGTTCATCCTTGACGGGATTAGGGCAAATATCTATTTCATCAATATCCATATCTACAAATGAGCAACCATATATAAGCATTTTTTGAATGAACGTTGTGGTTAAGGAAATATTTACCATCGCTTATCTCTTCTTTCGGCTTAATCAATCCATTTAGACTTTGCGTTGAATCAGCCTCAGCCGTAGTAGTGGGTGATTTGACACTATCTTCATCTTTACTACCGCCCTTTAGTCCCAATTTGCTATAAACATATCCTTTCGGTGGAAGAACAGATCCTCCTTTCAGAGAAAGTTTTGCATAGCGATTTCCACCCAGCAAACCACTCACAGACGCTTCTGGCATATCTGCGTTATCTGATAGCCCTATTACGGAGGCAGTGGAAGCATCCTCGGGCATCATAGAATCCCCACTTCCAAATTCGGATTCTTTGCTATCTGATTGTTTGTCCGATTCAGGAACAATTAAACCGGCCTCGGCTGCCAATGCGGCCAGAGCTGCATCGGTCGTTGCTGGTCCCTCAAATGAAGAGGATGCTGGAGAAAAATTATTCAGTAGCAACTTAGCGATAGCAACACATGAGTAAATAACAAACATTGCCTACCTAAACTAGCAGATGGTTGTGTTGTAGCTTGTTTGGGTCTCTGTACCACCATAAATTTCGGTTGTTCGGTGTTGTTGGAGACGGATGGAGTGGATGGCAAACGCATGATTTTTCCCACTCCGCTTAGTTGGGAAGGCTGGACAACAGTCAATTTATTGGTGCCTGAAGCCATCTGTACAGTTAATTGCTTTCCACCAATCATCAGCTGTTTCTACAAATGAGCAAAATTGTCATTAGATCATCAACACGCTGTACAATGCCGTCGTCAATAGTTTGTATTTTTAACTTTAAATGTATTTGAGACAGCAGTCGAGTTCAATAGGTCTGTTCGCGCAGCAGTTGTCTACTATTGTTTATTAAACTTAAAGCTGAAAGTATCAAACGACCCTCTTATCATAAACATACATACATAGGTGCAAAATATAAGTAATCGTTTTCCGGCGCGTTTTGATGAAAGCGAGTTCCTTAATACCAATTCGTAATAAAAAGGGAAATTTCCAAGGCCTAAAATTTGATGCAAAATTTAAAATCAAAGGTTTTGTAATTATGTGGAAAAACTAAAGCCACGTGATCATATGAAACACATGAATGAGGAATATTTACTTGCATTCTGAAACTGTGACTACTAATAACATCGGCGAATATAGCGGAAAATACTTTACGAGCGTTGAAAATGAAAAAAATCATACAAAAGAATATGTGTGACTTACTGTATTTTTCCCCAACGTGAGAGTTTTTGGCGATCCAACAACTTGCATGGGCATGGATATAGTAATGGGTTTGGACATTTTCACTCCTTGGAGGTTTTGTAGAGCTGATGCAGCGACAACTGGGTTCGCATTAACGGTGTTGGTTTTCACCAGTGACATATTTACTGCCTGTGCATTTGTTATTGTCTGAATATTTTTGAGTCCTCCAGTCGAACTGACCATTAGTACTTGTTGATTGCCAAGGGTTGGGATCTGCCCGCCGCCTCCTTTCGATAACATTAACTTTCCGGTAGTCTTATTCATCTGTATCATATTCGAAGGAATTGTCTTCAGGGTCGTCAGCATCTTATTACTGGCATTGCCCGGGACAAGTTTAACTATATTTTTTGCCTGTGGCGAAAGTACTTGTCCTACCGATTTCGTCGTCTGAACAATATTTCCACCTTTCGGTAGAGTAGCCAGCGTCATTCCTGTGCTTGTTTTAACAAGTGTAACCACCTGCTGTTGAACGCCTCCAGGCTTTTGGATAATATTTGTACCTTGCTTCACTAGGACTTGTTTATTACCCTGCTGCGGTGAAGCAGTTTTAATTAATGTAGTCCCTTGAGCACCTTGCATCCGAACTGGATTTGCCAGTTTGATCTGAGTAGGTGCCTGAGCAACAGTTATTTTCTGCGTTGCAGCAGCAGCAGCAGCCAGGGCTTGAATACCCGACATTTGCCCTGTACTTGACTGGTTCTGCTGCACGATTTTCACGTTATCACCAGAAATTGTTATTGGCACACCAGCATTAACAGTAGCTGGAATGGACTGCAAATGGGACCCATGTTGGCTTGTGATAATGGTTGACTTAACTGGATGACGAGGCTTGATTTGAACCTTTGCAGGGCTCCCAACAGGTGTTACGGAAGTTTTAGCCTGCTGAATCGACATTACAGGTGGACTGCCAGGCACGGATTGTGCAGCTTTGGGCGAATTCATTAGCTGAGCCTGGCTGGGATGGGAGGCCGCAGGCTTTGGCGTTTGCAGCATCGCTGGTGGCAAATCGTATTTTTGTATTTGTAAAACGTACGACTGAACTGACGGAGATCCTGTCCAATTAACTTCCAGAGAATGGGTGCCTGCTTTCACCAGGGACACGCGACTTGGAGCCGGAGGTCTATCCACTTCCAAAAACCACAAATCTTTACAACATACTTGATTTTTCCAAGCTTTCCGATAACCGTCTCGACCCGACCAAATATACAACCGTGTACTGATACCAACCGCACAATGTCCAGCTCTGGCACAGGGCACATTGGTTTCATCTTCACTGAAAATATCGATGTCCTCCCAGTTCATTGTCTCTAAATTAAGGCATGCCATTGTGCTCGTACACTTCCACTCTTTTTCATTAATGGCCACCTTTCCTTCTTCGGGCACCACGGGCACCCAACCTCCAAAAACAAACATCCGATGACCGATCAGTGTTGATGTATGCAGAGATCTAAAAGAAAATTTTTATGTTATGCATCGAGTTGCATTAAGTTAACTATACAGGGTTACTTCAACGGTACCGGAAAAAACTTAAAAGCTATGCCATCATCATGTATTAAGCACTGTATAAGTAGTTCAATGGTCACCGAGCAGAGTATGCTCAGATTCATTAACGACAATTTTCAATCACCATGTACACTTGAAAACCAATCTTTCTTAGCTCGCTATATGCTATATACTATATTTATATAGCGTGCTAGTTCAGCTTACAGTAGAATTCTGCAAGGTATTCCTTTTGCGTGAAATGTAAAGAAGTTGTTTAACTTCTTGAATGTTGCTTTTCAACGGTTATTTTTCGCTTTCCAATATTGCGTTGCCTTGGCAGCATAAAGTAAAACTGTACTAACCCAAATTAACAAACCGAGCAAGTCTAACATGAAAAATGTCCCTTATTCAGTATCTCACAATGTCTACGAACGTTGCAAAGAATGTCTGGTGTAATTTGTCGTCCCCTAAATTTGGCAAGCTTTTAAACAGAGGAGCATAAATTTTTGATATCCCAACAAAAGAAATCGAGCTAAATCTGGCGATCTTACAGGCCATTCGATAGTGTCTCACCTTCCATCTAAACTAACCATTCAACAAATTAAACGTTTCACTGCCAGTTTTGTCAATTTGAAACTGGATACAATTCTACTGTTGCAAGCAATCTGATTTTACGTACGGAAAAATTACGTACTTTTGATAAAATTGGTACAAGGTGGACCACAGAGCGAGACAAATTTTGGCTTGCTCCCAGTTAAAAAAAAAGGTAACATTTTTCTTCTCGAACCTTCGATTTTCGAAATCCAGAAGGCATATTGAACCTAAATTTATAAGCGGCGAGACAAACATTCTATATACAAAGTTTCATGAATGAAAGAATTATTTGAGTCACTTTTAATGCAAATATACTTAATTTCCGTCGAAAGACTATGAAGTTTTAGCTTCAACATGAGCCTTAGATCTTGAAAACCGACTCAACAGGAAAAAAATTGCAAGATGAGAAAGTTGATTATGAGGCATATAGCTATATTGATGCATTTCGCGTTGAAACTAATAAAAAATATTTTTTTCTTCAACTGGGAGCAACCGAACATACTGAATTGTAGCATTGTTTCATTTCACACCCTGTACATCTAAAGTACTTCATTTTTGAGAAAATACGGACTGACAGGAAAAGAATTGAACTCAATTACACTTCAAACAGAAATAAAATCGCTACCAGCAATGATAATTTATCCAGTTTCAAAGTTAGGGCAAATTCGTCACTGTAACACTTCTTTTGGTAAGCAGTTTATTAGGAAAGATGTCATTTAGAAACTGTCTGACGTGTAATGGATAATTAAATGGAGCTCTGCTCTTGCTGAAATATTGGATTGTCTGACAATCTACCGACTTTTGAATATTTTACTTTCCCACATGTTTGTCAAAATCGTGTCACAGTCATTTTAGATGGAAGTTGTAAATTGAGATGAAGGCATGGGTTGAGGCTGAAGGAGTTGAAATTACAGTAATAAAAATCGAGAAACTTGTGCAAACCAAAACCTGTGTGGATAGCTTCGGCTAAGTATAATAAAAAGCAGCTTCAGGATCAAATCAATATACCGAATCGTTGTGATAAAAAAAACGACTGTGTAAAGCAATGAAAGTGCGAATAAATCAATTAAATTTCCAATAAAGGGTTAATAGCTTATTAAATCCAACACCAATAAAAATATGCTTCCCAGCACCATTGAAATGTTAGCGATTCATGATTGAATTCGCAATATGAAACAAAACAAAACAAAACAAAACATTGTCGGAATAGAATCAACCTGTTCCAAGTAGTCAGCATACAGGAAGAATACGTAAAAGATTCGGGAAAGAAATGAAATTGTTAAGAATACGTAAAATATTCGGGAAAGAAATGAAATTGTTACCTTGGTAAAGGAGTAACTCCAGAAACAGTCGGCTTGCTCCAGTTCATGTTTTCCGTGTCTAAAAACCACAAGTCCCCAAGGCGGCACCCACTCATTCCACCGTAGATAACTAAAAAGGACTTAAAACGCTTTTTATCCACATATGCTACTCCTGTATGAGATTCTCTTGGAGGCGGTGACGGCCCATTTGTCAGTGGAATATTCCATTGCATGGGATTACTTCTAATGTCTAACGTGTATAGATCGTTTAAATATCTGAAAACAGTTAAGATTATGTAGAATATTTACAGGGACAGACAGCCGATTCGCTCACCTTGGTACATTATTTTTCGGATCTTCGCTATCATTTGCTAGTCCTCCAAACAAGTAAACTTTGCTATTTACAATGGTGAAACTATGTCCTAACCTCGGACATGGGGCGAGGCCAGCTTTAGGATTTTTCGGACAAACTTTTTTCCATTCCCATTTGGAAGCCTACACAAGTTTATAATAATTCACGGCCCCCCTAGTCAAAAACTATTTCTCACGAAACACGCTATTTACACTTACCTGTAGTTCGTACAATTCATTACTATATTTGCCATATTCTACCATTCCACCGAACACCAATAACCTGGTGCCTTCAACAACGAAACCATAAGCAGCACATCCTGGTGGCACGTCCCCTTTGGTGACTGGAACGAACCACTGATTTGTTGCTGAAACAACACAGAAAACCTATTTATGTCTTATTTTCAAACGTTCAATGCATATTTTTAAAGGTGTGTTAGTCGATCAATTGAATGTAGTGCTATACCGGGTCATTCTTCAGGAACATTCTCACTAAAAAACAAATAGTTGCAAAAACATATTACTTTTTAACATTCAGGAAATCTCGATTGCTTTGATCCATCGAACCATATTTAGAAAAACGAATGAGTTTTCATCCTCACTATACGCTGCTTTAATTAATCGGAAAACGGAACCTGCAATGGTTCGGCGCAGTTGTTGGTTGTTGTAAAGGGACCAAAAACGATTAAGTACGTTTATGGAGCCCAGAAGAAACGAGACGTGTAAGTGAAACCGTTTTGTGTTTGAAGGAAAGTTTCTTATGGAAAAATAAGTTTATAACACAATAGGAATTAGGAATGTTGCCTGGCTATTACCCTAAGAAAAATTGCGATTTCATAACTGTGTTGGCGCTTGTTTCTGTGACATATTTTCAAAAACTAACAACTTATGTAACGTACATTCAATTAAATCTACCAGGATGCATGAATGCCTCTTTTCTTTTTGCCTAAAATTGAAAAAACGTAATTTTTTTCATCTATAAAATTGCCCTACGTTTAATGAAGTGTCGTTCTTTTTAATTGGTATGGTTTATCTAAACTAATAGTTTGCCAATTGACCTTTGATCCGCTTTAAAATAATGCTTAATGGCAAAGTGCGAGAAATAAACTGAATTGTTTTTTATTTGTTTTCAGTTCTCCTTAAGTAATACCAGCGCCAAAAACCTGAATCACTCTATATACTCAAACAACGCTCAGCTATGAACGATATATACAAGCAATGAACGATATATACAGTGTTTTTGCAATAAAACCTGCAAAAACCGATTTCCAATAAATGCTATATAATACGAGCCATACGATATTCAAAGTTTTTACATTAGTGAAGGGTTTTTGCATAAAAAGTCCCCAGATAGGTAGCAAAGCAATATGTTGCATTTTTATTATTCTTAAGAATATCGCGATCCAGGCCTGCGTTAAACGAGGCAATTTTTATGGAAGAAACTAAGTACCAAATGTTTTAAAATTGCAATTTGGTCCGATAACATGAACTTGAAAATATATTGGTTCATCCACCAGCAAAACTTAACAAAACTTCAGCGTGCACTATGCATAGTTAATTATATTATTCATGTGCTGATAGTGAATATTGCAACAGTTTCCGAGTTGCACTGGTAATGCAAGTCCATTTTCCACGCTCACTCGAGCCAATACATATGGACGTTTTTTGTAGGAAAGAAGCCCAATTTTTATAATGCATGATAATGCTAAATCGGAACACCATATTTTAACTAACAGAAATGAAAACAAGGACTTAAGGCGGAGCAAAGAGATCCTAAACCAACTAAATCACTATTTTTTGACATCGACATAGATTTACACATATGTATTAAGTATGTATAGAAATTATGACATTTTATGTGCACAATTACTCTTATAATATAGGTATGCATATCTTTTACCTACGAAATTTTGAATATGTGGCTAATTTGTGGTAAAAGTAAAGACATTTTAATTACAGTAACACTACAAAAAATCGTGAATACGAATAATTCGAAAATCCGAATTTGCCCTTGCAATAATTAGTTTAGTTAATTTTAGAATTAATTCGGATTACAGAGGTTATACTCAGTTCCCCGTTTTTTTTAGAGGAGAGGGAGATTTAAATCTCCCGCTCATCTAGATCAGCTATAGAATGCAGAAATTTGATTGGCTAGAAAAAGCTTCCTGCAGCGCACAGGAAAAAATATAGGTTAGGGGAAAATCTATACAATGTATAGAACTAGAATGTACTGAATGGGAAGCAGGGCGCATTACTTGTTGGGTGTACGATCGCAGAAATGCAATAGAACTGTAAAACCTTGACGTTAAAAAGCCCTAGACATATTTATTTGTATCCAGACATATTCGGGCGCCATATTTGTTTCACCACAAACAAATCGAAGCTGAAATGACATTTCATTATCGTTAAACAAAGTAGCCGGAATGCCGAACTGTTTTTGAGAATAAATGAGGAATTACAAAAAAACATTGAGCATAGGTTACGTTGTTACTATGTTAATATCAAAACAAAAACAAAGCACGCCATATTTACTTGTACATGATAGACGGGCAGAGCAGTACCTGTATTGTAAACATGCAGTTCATCGACGATCCCTTCATTTCCGCCACCAAAAACTACCATCAAATCTTTAATTGCGACAGCTCTATGTCCATGGCGCGGCCTGGGCTGCGGCCCATTTGGATTAGCCACCAATTTCCACTGTAACGCCTTACCCGCCATTACGTATCACATTGCACTCCTTTCGGACATATATGAAACCAACAGGAATCCACTTCAACAATTTTCGATCTTACACATAACAACAGAGGCCCATAGTCAATTTAGTGAATGTACGCACTGTTCTTCATTGAGAAACATTGGAATAGTGGTTGTAGCGAACTGCAGAGTTTTGATATAATTATTTTTTCCGACATAAGCGGCAAAACGTTACAAAAATGATTTAGTTCTGTCGACTGTCGGCAACATCGATTTCGAACTTACTAACCCAGCCCAAAACAGTCAATCTGGCCATCTATAGGCATACTGGACGAAACTCCCAGGTACCAAAATGCTTCCATAGATGCCAGCACGAAAAAAAAATTGCGATCAGATTCTCATATCGATACTTTGTATTTAATTCCCCTTTATTCACAAAACCTGATTCCAGAAAACATTTTCGTCCTCAAAAAACACATGGAAAGCATTTAGCAGGCAATTTACTAAAGCTAAATGCACTTATCATAAAAGCAGAAAAGTCCGAGAATATCTGAAAACCGCCAAAAACTCCATTCTTTGTTTTAGAACTCAAAATTGCGATCATTGATTTAAAACTTCAACAAACTTCGCAGTTTCCAATAATAATATTGCCCTCCACTCGATAGTTTCTTGTATCGTTAATCGCAAATTGCCAGCCCTACTAAAGTGCATTTAACCATCTTAGAAAACTGCACTGTAGAAATAGTTTGCTGAACGTTCAAAGATAGCACCCTTATCGACTCTTACTACAGCGTTGTCGATATCCCGTAGCATGAAATTTATCATCATATTCCAAGGACGTTGAATCTAAAAAAAATAATCGACAATTTTAATCTATTTTATGAAAAATCGGCAATAAAAACGCTTGCGAGAAGTTTTTCTAATTTTTTTGGCATTTGTAGTCAATATTCGAGTATTAAAAATTCATTTTGGCCTAATTAAACACCTATGTTCTTCAAGTTTCCCAAAATAGTACGCTGTGACAAAAAAAATAACAAATCCCGTGATCTAAATTAATGTTAGAGTGAGACAACAACCCGTCTTTGAGCTGTGACATTATTTCAACACTGAAACTGCGAAACTGGAAAAACCTAAACATTTTCAATTCAGTATTAGATTAATTTGTTTTTGTCAATTCCTGATGATTTTACTTTCTATGACGATACTTTTTCCGATGAACCGTAACCAGAGTACTTGGGATAAATCACCCAACAAATGCACATCGGCAACAGGGCAAACTTATCAGAACTACCAACAAAACGGTACCAACTACCCCGCACAGCGTATAGATTGCTCAGTTAATAGAACCTTGCAAACTATTTTAGTTTCTGATGCAACCGCGAGGAGCGCTGTTGTTTGCTCAAAAACTTTCTAAATAGATCCGAGGTTTTCAGGCGTGACTTAAAATTAACATTTTATCCGTTTGAATACTTCTGTTGCACATTTAATTGAAAGGTAACTTTAATTTAGAATTTTTGCAAAATAAAGTGCACAATGAATGCCTCCATTGGTCGTCAGTACGCCCCGACTTACCTCCTATTGATTGTAGTTGGCACTGGATTTAACCAATCTTTTAGAATGTCCTACAATACCGTTATACATCAATAAAATAGATTTACTTTAAAATGTATGTTTTTAAATTTATATGGGCATTACGTGATTATTGCAACATTAATGAAACTTAGTTTGAAATTGTGAAAATTTCGCGTTGAAATAATCGGTAAATACATTTTCTGAAGCATTTACATCTCACTTGCGAGTAGTTCTGCACACAACCACTGGAATAAGCGGAAAAGGCTTTGTTGAACTTTCGATTCTTTTACTGTCTGATGTGGACCACAGACCACAGATCACAGAGGTTCTGTAATCTGTGCCACAGACTACATACTATTTATTTGGTCAACACACCTAACCCAATTCTTAGTTTAAAGTTTGATTTAGAAAATTTGCAAAATTAGGATGTCTTAACAATTATGAGTGGAAGCAATGTAAAAGAGGCAATAAATGTCTGCAATAATGTGGTTGGTCTTTACAGAGACCTGCTTAACTCCTATGTATCAGACTTTTATATAGAAAATCACTGGAATTTGAAAGTTTCCAACAGCTGGAAAAACTTCCTTGAGGAATTAACATTTGTTCAGGTTTCTGAACTTTTAAATTATGATTCGCAGTCATTGACTTATGTGGCTCCATTAACACTTTTGTGCCTTCAAACGATACTAAGAAAGTTCTCTATTCAAAGGAAGCAAGTTAATGTTCCAGAAGTGTTCAAAATAGATGACCAGTTGATGAAATTGCTATGGAAGAACGTGAAGTTGAAGAAACGGCATGAAATAGAATTGATGTCTCGTATATGTTATCAAGCAGCTTTGAAGACGAATTGTTTCAACATTGTTGATGTTGGCTCAGGATTGGGGCATTTGAGTCGTTTGTTGGCTTTCAAGTATGGTTTTAATGTCTGCACATTTGAGGCAAACAGTGTCTTGGTGAATTTGGCATTAGAGCTTGATAATAAGATCGCTAAAAGCTTGATTTCGAAACACATTAAATATATAAATGTAGTTAAACCTTTACATTCTAGCAGGCGAATCGAAGAAACCCTTTCAAGTGAAGACTTCCTCTTTGCTGTGAAAAAAGCGTTCGCTAACAACCAAAATAATTTTCAGTTTGGAATTGTGGGTCTGCATCCATGTGGAAATTTAGGATCAACACTACTTCGTCTTTACAGTGAATCATCAGGCGCCAAATTCATCAACATAGTTAGTTGTTGCTACATGAAGTTGTCATTAGATCCAGCCTCCCACTGTGGGTTTCCATTAAGTGCATTTTGCAAACAAACTGACTACCAGTTGGACTATTTATCATGTGAAACAGCCTGCCATGCAATAGAAAATTATGTAGACAAGATAAAAATTACTGGCTACCAGCACTTGAAAATCCACTCGTTTCGAGCAGCTTTAGAATGTCTTTTAGCTAAGAACAATTTAAGGCATTCGGCTGTGGGGAATGTGAAATATGAAACCGGACTGTCCTTTAGAGAGTACTGCCGTAAAGCTACAAAAAAGTACGATTTAACATTTTGCCCTAGTGATCTGGAAATGTATGAGAATCTGGTGGATGCCACTTGGGTACAAGTTGTTAAATTTTACTCTCTCAGGCTACTCTTAGCGCCTTTAGTAGAGTCCATCATTTTATATGATCGATTGTTTTATTTAAAGGAAACTCAAAGCCACTGTGATATTATGCCTGTTTTTGACTCACACATTTCGCCTAGAAATCATGTTTTGAGTGCACGTAAAATTGCCAGACCGATCCACAAGTAGCCTTAGTTGTTAATGCTTGAATATTTTATAATAAACATGTTATATCGATTGAAACTGTGTATTATGCCCATGCGTAACTTTAAAATGATCCATCTTAGTGTTTTTAAGTTTAAAATGTTTTACCAAAAAGGATGAATGGAGAGGATAAATGCTGGTTTGGAAGAGTGCTTGGACTGAAGAATATTAAAACATTTATTAAAAATATTTAACATGATCGTGAACAAAGTTTCACGTCGATACATCGCTTTAAATAATAATCGAAAAACTGCCTTACCTACATGTATTTACATGAAATTCTAATGAGAAGTGGTAAACATTAAAGTATGTTATTTAAAGAAACCAAACTTGAACGTAACAGATGCCAATCATCCGAAAAAAATAGAAATATGTTTCCTACTATCTTTGGTAAAAGTGAATTTAAAAAATCAATACTGTTGCTGCCTTTGCAATGTCGAAACACCAACGCAGCTTGTTTGTGTGGGAGAATCTACATTTTCAGCCACACCAAACAACAGTTAAGATACAAATAAAACAGACTAAATAGAGCAAATGAAAGGTGCTGATTGAACGCTTAAACCGGTCTGCTACTGTTCCCTGAAAGTACAGTAACATTGCTTCCTCAATAGACAAAATGTTTTTAAAACTGGAAATTCTCACCTTGACCACTGGATCCAGACTGGTTATCAGGTTCTCCAGGGTCTTCATTCTCGTCACTTGAAGTTTCTTCTTCACCCTCCACTCCATTCTCTTCTTCCTGCCCATCAGCTACTAGGAAATACTGAATTGGGTTCTCCCACAGATCGTCCTGAAATAAATCAGTTGTACAGCTAATTTGGATGATTTTATAGGGTTTCTCCGTCATTTTAAGCCCTATTAAAAAAGCAGTATTTTTAGGTCAAATTTAGAATGCTAAAATCAAAATTTCCAAATTTTTGCTCGCTTAAGAGATAGAAGAAAAAATAAAAAATGTGAATTGCAAAATGACCCTATATATTTTCTAAGTTAAAAGAGATCTAGAAACATGTTTTATGCAAAAGTTTCTGTATAATGGTTGTTGAATAATCTACTATTTTCAGGATAAGTATGTAATGTCTAACATTGTTAAGTGGCAAGAAAACAGACATATTTTTTTGCGCAAAAACTATGAATGCTACAGGATTTTACAGAGAACACAAAATTGTCAATAAATGATTAGTGCATCAACAAAAAATTAAATTACTTGATTTCTCAACCAAATAAAAAGTTCTGGTAGTTTTTGTACCCCGACACCCAACAATTCAACACTTGTCCAAAACGGATGAACTCGATTGTTTCATCAAAATATGAGTCTTATATACGAACAAATTCACAGCGAGTTTTACGAAAATACATCGTACCATTATCTCCTGATATTTCAAAAACAATAATTTTTTTAAAGAAATTTAACCATCTCTAGCAGAGAAGGCAGACATTTTTTGTTAATAAAAGTTAGGTCAGATCGTCTTCTTTTGATGCAAGGAATATAGCAGTATCCTTTTGATCATGTGCTTAGGGGACACCCTGTATTTTGTTCCCTATTCAGAAAGGCGGCAATTCAAAAACATACGGCTCTGTTTTACAAAGCCGATAAAAAATTATAATAAAGAAAACAAAGACAATGAAGAGATAAGCGTGTTAGGATTTGTGGAGGCCCATAATTTTAGCTAACAAAAATCTGCTTCCGTCAGAGAAGTAGAATCTAAAACTGGAATTTCAAAATCCAAGGCGCAAACAATGTCCAATAAATATTTTCCTTTTCTCGTTAATATTTCGCAATATTTGCACCCTGGGGATGAACTGATAAGGTTGGAATATTGTCAATTGATTTTAAATAAATCGAACGAGGATCGTTTTCAGGAAAAAATAATTTGGTCAGGTTACAAGTTGCGGTAGTCTTTATCGACTTAACAAAATACATTGAAGCTCGCGAAATCACCACATGGTACGACTGTTCACCAACAAGGTCGATTTGGAGTAAACATAAGCTCTTTTTGTTTCAAAATAAACTGGTGTATGGCTGTTTTGAAGCCAATTTAAATGCAGATAGGCATACTCTAATCAAACTTTCTCGATATTCTTAGTATTCTCCAAGATGATCTACCCATAACGCTCCTTGAATAAGAGAATATTTGAATGCTTACTTTAGAAACCGTTACATAAATTGCTTAGGAAGCCAATATCATCCATGGCTTTCATCATTCCTTCCTAACTAAGAAAATATAGGGTAATTTTTGAAATTGAAAATTTGTTGATTCTTTTCTGTCTTTTAGGCGAGAAAAAATTGCTTGAGACAAAAAGAGCACATGACAAATATACTTCTTTGTTGATAGCACCAAAAATTAGAGAGATACCTGAAAAAGTGCCGGAAATCAAACACCCAGTTCGCTTTGGCGTTGTTATACCTTCAAGTACCTTAAAATCTTCCGCAATATTATCAGTACATGGATCCACGTTATCAGTAAACCATGTGAAGAAACTGGTTCTAGTAGATTCCAAACGTCTCTTCCTATTAGTCTTGTTGACTTCTTGAGAAACCTGCCCCAACTGAACCCCTTCTTTCCAATTGATTGGGGTGCTTTTGGAAGATGGGGAATCTATTTAAGGGAATTAGTGCAACAAGGGGATTGCGCTCGCTTAACACCTACCGTTTCCTAGTACATATTCCTTAGTTAAAACCGGGTTTTCAAAGTAAGGGTTTTCGTCAAAATAAAACTTGATTATAAAGCCTGAGAGGATATCGTCAAAGTCCTCAATTTCGATTTTCGTCAGGTGGTGCAAACAGTCTTCTTCCTCCTGGCCACTGAAGAGGTTGCTAATATCTGGATGGTTCATTATCTTGGCAAATTAAGGGTCAGATTGCAAGCTGATCATTGGAAATTAGTTGTCAGGATTATTTATTACATCTATAGGTTATGTGTAGGGAAACGTTTTTGTCCTGGATACGGACACTAGAAGGAATAGTTGTTTTAACAATTGGAAAATGAAAAACCCAGAAACTTGTTAGAAAGAGGGCTCTATGTGGGAGCTAAATCATGAAAAGGATACAGCTGTTGCCCAAAAATTGGGAATGTTACTAATCAGCTGGCTGCGCTTATCCAAATGGGGCTTCCTGATGCGATTGTACTTGATGTCGATCTGTAGGACTTCTTCTGAAGCCTTTTCCTTGATACTATCTAGCTGAGTCTGAATCACATCCATCTCTTCTAAAATTTTCTGAGTTGCATGATCATAATCGGCGATTCGCTCTGACTCGGACATTCTTTTAAACTTTTTATTGCTCGTTTCGCTTGACATTTTCCGAAATCCGCTCTATTTCAAAGAAAATAAAACGGAGATGAAAAAACCAAAACAAAAATGACTCATTAAGGCGAAAGCCATGTCACGTGCTGGAACAGACACTGATGCTACGTTGTCAAGTGTTACAAGATGAAATTCCCAATAATTTATTTCAAAAGAAGTTTCTTAATTTTCTATAGATATCAACCCGTTTTACATCAGGAGAAACTTGCAACACTATGAAATATATTTATGTGACTAGTTTTAAACGAATAATGCGTTTTGGTGTCTTTAAGTGCGGTGTAATTAATTAAAGTATTGCAATAAAAGGGCAGCATGATAATTTTTGGGTGCTTTGAAAAATTGCTGAACAATTGAAAAATTGCTAAAGTAAATCTGTAAATCACTGAGCGGGTGTCGATTTAAAAATTTAACATTTTCGTCATGATTAAAATGTAATTTTTGGGTCGGGAAATATCTCAGGAGGCGGCAACCCTGCAGTGACATTCCATCAAAGTTTCCAATGTCCAATCACAAAGCAGCTTTGAAGAGATTGCTTTAAATGCCATGGGCGTAGGGACAGAGGGAGTCAGGGGTGTTGCGTAATAAATGTGTCCTCAGCTAATCCCTCAAAAAGACTTATTTGGAGTTAGTTTTTAAAGGTATTTAAAAAGTGTTTGAACTTTTAAAAAAGTCCTTCATACCGGCATGGTAACTGCTGACTAAAAAAATTGTCAAAAATCCAAAGATTTTTATTAAATGACCAGCAGTAAATGCATGACTATAACTTGTTTTCCGAGGATGAAGACCAACAATTTACCACCATGCGGTTATCAATAGAGATCGGCTTTCGCGGCCATTCCTTGACACTGGTGAGTTTTTTGCTGTCGTGAAATAGAATTTTTCCTGACGTTTCGCAAACACGAGTGGCTTGCATCTTCAGAGATGGTTTGAAAGCTTACACTGTACTGACTAAGCGAAAATACCTGACGTAGGAACAAATCGACATACATTAAAATCCATCTGAGCGCGCTTTCTCGATATTGCCAAAAACTGTACTTAAGTTTTGTTAATGTTTTAATTTTAATAAATAATTAATCAAAGTTAATAAATGTCGAAAATTGTCTGTTGGTAAGAGAACAGCAATCATTTTTGCGCAAAAACTATCAAGCTACAAGATTTTAAAAAAGGATAAAAAGTTTAAGTAGGATTGGTAGATCAACAAAAAATTAATTTTATTCCAGGTACCAAATAAAAAGTTCTAGTAGTTTTTGTACCAAGACATTCAAGAATTCCTCACTTGCGTCAAAGGAACGACCTCACTTACTTCATCAAAATATTAAAATCTCTTTATTTGGATGATGGAATCAACTCATTTTTTTTGGTTGATGCACTAACCATTTATTCACAATTTTATGCTCTTTGTAAAATGATGTAGCGTTTAGAGTTTTTGGGCAAAAAAATATATTTGTTTTCTTGCCGCTTATCAACAATAAATATCGTGATGAGCGAAGCATAAATTAATTGTCAAACTTTTGACGTTTGCCAATCAATCTCACAAATTCGTTTGTGTGGCAAAAAACAGAAATCATTTTTTTGTTTCATTTTTTTGAAGAACTTTGACCATCAATAGCAGAGGAGACAGACATTTTTTTGTTAATAAAAGTTAGGTCAGATCGTCTTCTTTCGATCCAAAGAATATCTCAGTATCCTTTTATAGGAAGAATTGAATATTCAAGCACAACTTTGAATATTCTGATGAAATTTGAAATTGATTATTCGTTTCAAGAAAAACACGTAGATTGATGGGTATATAATGAACATTTTACCACATTAGTATGGAATTGGTTAATTGATCCTAAAAGGTTAGAGACTGTGTGATCTACATACGCTCAAATTGTTTTCAAGTATAAAAAGTGTCTCATAAAAGCCCTACGAGCATCGACTTTTGAAAATTATTTCAGCCCATGCAGATTGAAAAATTAATGAAACATATACTTTTTATTCTTTGCCTGTCCTAAATGTCCAGGCGTAATATTCTAAGCGGTATATTCAAGAAATATTTATGGAATAAATTTTGTTATCTGGGCAGGTCCTAATTTTATTCAGATGTTCCTAAAAAATATCAAATTTGCCATATGAAATTGAAACTCATTTCCTCACAGAAGCGTTAAAAGAACACGTTTTTAAATAAAGAAATTAATAATTACTATGTTCTATTATTTACAATTATTACATAATTACTAAGCTAAACGTTGTCTTTTGCCTAAAACATGGGCAACCTAGTCACTTCTAAGTTGTTGAAAAATTCTACTTATTTTTTAAGTCGAACACGCACCTTTGAGACAAATTTGTGATCTTAAAAACGTTAGTTTTTCTAGGGCAAACTTGATATATTTTTTAGGAACAATCTGTTTGAAACAAAGACTTGATACGTTCTTGCCTAAGTAAATTACAACCTTTTTAGAACTCTGCAAATTTCCGTTACAGAATATTGGGTCTTTTGAGAAATATCGCTAAAAACGTTCAGAACTGCACTTGATATTTACTATAATAAAATGCAAATATTTCCAAAACCGTTGGAGATACGGATTAAACTTCATACATAAATCATGTTGTGAATCTTTGGAAGAACTTGCATTTATCGTAATATACAGGGCGTTTCATTTCAAATAAGCAACCTCCGTTATAACGGGAGTGCCACTTTTCAAAAAGTATTTTAGATGTATAAAGCAGAGTCGCTTAAGTCAGAGCTGAAAATTTCGGAATTATTGTAACTGTATTTTTCGAGTTACGGATAGCAGCGCATATTTGGGGACACCCTATACTATATTATAAATAATTGAAGGCAAAATAGCGAATTTCAAGTAAAGGAACTGAAAACAAATGTAAAAAGCAACATTTAAATCTAAAATCTTAGTATTTCAAGCATTATAACCGGGCTAAATAAGTTTCTCTAGAGCACTCCGGACTTCGACGATTCTGTTTATTGAAATAAGAAAATAATTTACGGCTACTACTTTAAACAGTGAACTGGGATTCTATTCAGACGTAGAATAGCTGATTGAAAAAAGCCTCATTTTATGAAACATCAAGTACATTCTGCAAAGTAGTCAAAGAAGCGCGTCTGCCACTGAATAGTCAAGTTATTACGTGCGAGGGCTTCCGAAGTGATCCGAAATATAAATACGGGGTTACTGGAGGTTGAAGACCATAATCATTAGCATTGACGAAGAAAATGAAACAAAATGACACAGACAAGTTCTTCAAGTTCTGTGCTGGTATAATAAAGCGCAGAAAATATCCGCATGATATAAATGCGGGCATATTTAATGATCACTGGTTTGATCGATTCAACTTTACAGAATATGTAAAGGAGTAGGCCACATTACACACACACACACACACCTACTTTGTAGGAATCATGTAGGAATACATATTTATCAAACTATCGCAATCCGGTTGAATGCTGACCATTGGAATGCATTAGCTTTTGACGTCAGTAAATGTGGATAAAAATATATCAATTGAGAATGTTGCAACATCTGAAGCATTATCTTTAGAATACCATGCAATTGAACCATCAGATGACCTTTCCTGGAATTTCTAGACTTGTTGTCTGTAATCACTGTTACACAAGCATTTCACCGCTTAGTAACAACTATCGGGAATACAAAACCTTTAATTTGGATATTTTGCCTCGAATTTACAGTCTTCTAATTAGTTTTTCTTATATAAAAACCAAATTTTTCATTTTTGATCTGAATCGAAATACTTGAGTAATTCAAAGTTTTGGAGCGAACAATGGTTTTTTTACAAACTTCTTTTTGGGTATTTCCCCTCAAAAATTTTTGTCTTTAAAAAAAGACAGAATTTCCTCACGTCTTTTATTACAGATTGATAAATAGTGCTCCTATATCGCAATAGGAACGAATTATTTATCAAAAAGTAATCAAGAATTATCACCTAGAGGGTATCCTGCGACACACTTAGGCTCAAGCTGTAAGATAAAATTCCAATTAGTAGAGAAATTAATTTGAAAAATTACCTTGACG